TCTTCCTTTGTTCAACTAGAGGGGTGACCTTGTTACAAAAGGAAATGAAGTTAGTTAGGCCGGACTTTCAGCTCGTGAACCCGTGCTGGCTACGACAAATGACTGCACTGTCTCTCAAGTGTTGTACAGTAACTCCCAGAATAACTTTCTCCATCATATTGCCGGGTACTGAAGTGAGACTGACAGGCCTGTAATTACCAGGGTCTTCCTTCTTACCCTTCTGGGAAATTGGGAGATTTGACAGCTTCCAGTTGACTGGGACCTCTCCAGACTCCCAAGACTGTCAAAAAGTAACAGAGAGAGGTCCCATGATAACTTCAGCCAGCTCTCAGCACCCTGGAATGAATCCCATCAGGCCCCATAGACGTGCACATCCAGCTGGAGCAGCAAGTCGCAAATTTAAGTTCAGAGTCAGCTGAGAGTCTATCATTTCCCCCCCTCCGCGTCATGGCCTTCCAATACAGGGCTCCAGGGCCCCAGGGCCCATCATCAGTGTGAAAGACAGAGGCAGAGAAGGTATTAAACATCTCTGCTTCTTCTACGTCCCTATTTCTGAGGTGACCAACCTCATCAAGCAACGGACCAGTGTTCTCTGTGATCCTCCTTTTGCAGTTAACATGTTTTCAGAGCCCTTTTTGTCGTCCTTCACAGCGCTGGCCAGCTTGAACTCTAATCAAGCTTTAGCTGCGTGAACTTTCTCCCTATGGTGGCAAACAGCATCTCTGTAGTCCTCCCACATCACCTGTCCTTGTTTCCAATGTCCAAACATTCTTAATTTTTGAAGTTCAGTATATTCCCTACCTAACTTCACAATGCAAATCTAAATACGTTTCTGTCACCAAATATACAGGCTATACTGTTAGCAGTAGGAGATTAAGATAAAGGAGATTAAACCATTACAGCATCCTGGCTGTGTCTTCTAATGTAATTAGAAGTAATTTTAAAGATATAGTTAAGAATAAATATACAAAATACACAGGGAAAGTATCCTAAAGAAAGGATCTAAAAATGTAAAGGCTTCCGATTTGTCAAGGCTGTAAATAATCTCACAGTAGCCACTCGCAGAAGGTGCCATAACAATAAAGAGATCTTAACAAATGGTCTTGAAACCATTTCATCTGTAGGATAAACCTCTCAAGTGTTCAATTAAAAAGCACATAGCTAAGACAAAATGGATACACCTCACTGTAGTTTATTTACTACCACTATTAATTCTTCACTTTCAGGAGATATTTTTGTTCCTTTCTAATCTTTTGAACAGCATTTGCTGTTAGGCTGTGATGTGCACATCTGGTATCTCATCTTGGCAAGCTTAAACAAAACAACCATGGAATTTCCCGTACGTACAGGTGACTTTCCACTGCTTAAACCAGTACCAGGAAAAAAATTAAAACCCGCTGACCCTCTCCCTTTTGTGTTACATCATTTTGTGCTGTGACTGAACTAACAAACTCCCTTTAATTGTCACCTGTTCCAAAGACCACCACAGGTCCGTTTTGCTGCTGAGTCCCACAGGACCAACACGCACAACTGAACGTGAACCCATCTGTTGCCTTCGTCAGGCGTGGCGACCTGGTTCAGGAACGGCACGGCGACCGCCCTCTGGTCGCTCGGGCCATCAGCTCGCAGACACCAATGTGGTGGAAGGCAAATGGCGTTTATTGGTAGGTGGCATGGCATTATATAGCTTAGGTTTACAATGTCACTTCCGTCTGCTTACGTCCTAGGCTAACTGCTATTGGCTATTTGGGGGGGGGTCTACATTTCCGTACAACGCGACATCTTCTGATCGCCTGGCCCTAACTGCCTACACCCATCCGGACCAGGACATGTGGTATCCTTACTGTACTACTCATGGGTGCCAGCTGCCAAAGCACAGCACATCCTCTAGTGCTGGCCAGGCACAGAGCTATCTAGGTCAAACAGTACTTAACCAGCTCGGGCTTTGTCTTCAGCAAAGTGGCCACACTGCAGGCAGCTAAACCTGTCTTTTGATGCAGCTTTGTAACACCCATGAGGAGTTCTGCTTGAGCTAATGAACACTGTTAGGGCTGGGAGAACCCACACGGGGTTAAGTGAGTGCCGACAGTACACCTCACTCAGACATAACGACATCCTGCTCAAGATCACTTGGTAACACTCCCAAATCTACTGATCAGTTCAAAAAAATAGGTTGGGTGTTTTTTTTTTTCATTTGGCTATTACCTCCTCCAAGGAGGGCATAACCCTTCTTTCTAATCAAACAGACACAAATGGCCCAGCCAATGGTACAAAGCCAAACAAAAAATACATTCTTTCATCAAGCTACACTTCGCTCAGGGAGGAGAAGTCAGACAGCAATCACAGGGCCTGGGCCTGGCCCATTTTCTTCCAGTGAAAGAAGCATCTGGTATAGACTGGCTGGGCATGCGGGATAAATGGGTGCCTCCTCCTAATCCTTCCCTCCTACGTTACAGTCTGCTGTGTGTGTGGAGCTGATTGAATTAGCACTTTGATCCTTTCCTGGTCAATGGAGAGTTTATGTACTTTAGCACCTATTCCTTTCCACTGCTCCAGAATAGAAGGAAAACAAACAATCTTATATGATACACATCACTCTGTGAGTAAAACAGGTGGGGTTGGTCACTGGAAAGGCTCCCCAGGGCACCAAGCCTCCCAGAGCTCAAGGAGCGCCTAAAAAGCTCTTAGTCGCCCATATTGTTTAGTTCTAGGTAGTCCTGCGAGGAGCAGAGCGCTGGACTTGATGATCCTTATGGGTCACTTCCGACTGGAGATATTCTATGGTAAGTACAGTGGCATATGGCAAGAATATCACAAGTATGCCTTTCTGGTACAGTATGAGCAAATCACTTGGTTTTTCCAATCAATTAGTGATGTAGAACATTTAAAACAGATGCAAAACATTTATATTTTTCAGATTAATGTGAAATCTTACTCCTTGTTTTTAATAACCTGGGAGGGAGAAGTACAGAAACACTTAAGCAAAACCAATGTATTTTATTTCTATCATTGGTTTTCTAAGAGTCTTACAAAACAACTTCAGAGGACTGCACCTCTTACAGTTTCCCATTAGTTATCATGGCTACTGAAAAGATAAATAACATTTTAAACTTGTTTTAACCTGACGCTCTTGCAGTTAACAGTTTTTGTACAGTTCAGCCTCTGCTGTAACTGAACACCGCAGTCACAAGCATCAAAAAGTTATAGGTACTTTCCATATTAAGTTAGTAGTGTCAGATAAACTACCATGCAAGAGTAGAGCACTGCAAAAGTATCTCAATGAATTTTGATTAGGAAGATCGTATCTGAAATGTAGGACAGTGCCTGTACATAAAAGCCCATAAATAAAAAACTGTCAGCAAAATCAGTAAATAGTTTAATTATGGCAAGAGTTGTATTAAATAATATTTAGTAGACTAATATACCATATGGCAAAAACTCTTTAGAAAGATTATAGTGGATATATTCCCTGAATACTTTTGTACTACAGCATTCATATTATGAATGGAACTGCTCATGGCAGGGACATTTTCTTTGGTACAACGCGCTTAAAATGAAAGACAGCTGGCCACACGTACGTGAGGCAGGTGCATATAAAGGCAGGCTTGTAATAAAAAGCCTGTGATGGCAATGACAGCAATCGCCTGTGTGTACAGATCATACTTTGCAGGATGCAGCAACAAGAGATATTTTCCAAATCCTTCAGTAAGAAACTGCCGCTCCTACACCTCCAAAAGCACACCGTGAATCATTGCTTCCTCGAGAAAAACGTTCAATATCATTTCTTCTGTCCTCAGTACTACGTAAAGCTGGAACTGAAAAACAAAAGCAAGCAGATAAACCATAACATTCTCTGAAGAAGTAAAGCTAAACCAAAGAAAAAAAATCTACAAGTTTTCTCAAGGTGAGTTACTCGTAGTGCAGATAATGACTTCTGTAACCAAGAATTCTACTTTCACACATAATCTCAGAAAAAGGAGTCTAGGAAAAGCAATTTGGTAACATTACTTGAAACGCAACAAATTTTGGCAAAACCACAAGCAGGCTGCTAGCATAGACCCAAAAAATGTCAAAGTTGTCTTGATCGTATCTGTGGGAACATGTGCACACATCTAGCTTCTGGAGTTTTTCATAATCTAGCAGTTATGAGTAATTACTGTACAAAAAAAAATTGTTTTCAATTGCAGGAAGATATTAATCAACAAAATGTTATCTACGGGAAAGTTGTAGCCTATCAGGAAAAGAAATTAATAAATTAATTGACTTCTGGTTTTGGAGGAGAAAAAAAGATAATTCATGTTTAGATATGAACGTTTAATTTGATGTTTATCTGTGAAGAAGTTGGGCGTGTTATTCTGAAGACTACTTTGAATACATTTCTGAAATTTCACAATTTATTCAACTTTTTCTTTTGGGAGTGGAGAAGGAAAGAAGTGGGTGGGAAGAGAGAAAGTGAAATGTTTATCAGGTGATACTCTGTACTCGGTGTAATTTTACAGCCAATTTTATCAATATGTCCTCTCAAAAATCTGTTCTGGGAAGACACACCTAGTATTATGGGACAGCAGCAGTCAGACTGCTTCATAAAGCTAACATATCCTACATTCATAACCTGAGTGCTGCAATCAAATACTATTTCTGGAATTCCCTGGGTGAATTTCTCTCCCTCTCTAACCACTCCTCCTCCCTCTCTTCGTGAACATTCACAGTTTCTTCATCTCTGACATCAAAGCACAGGAGTTCAAGTCGAAAAACTTGTTTCCTTCATGGAAAAAAAGAAAAAAAGAAAGAAAGAATGCTCGTAGAACATACAGCAATCACTCTAAAAGTAAATTTTAGAGCTGGTGATCCAAGCATGAGTATTTTACACACTCCTGTCTTACCACATAACAGAATAGCAGCATGTTTGTATCTTTTCTAAAAGATTGCTAACATTTGTTTTATAAAAGTGGTATGTGAAGAATTTTTTTATTGCTGCCTCTATTGACTAGCATCAGCACTTACTTCTTGCGGTCCTTGTCTCTCTTCAAAGTAACAGGGGTAGAGACAGATGCTTGTGACCAGAGTAATTCAGCATTAGTTTTCTTCTCAATAAACACGGCTATTTCATCTTCTAGAACTTTTTTCATTTTCTCTAGTTTCAGTTTCACTTCTTGATGCATTAGCATACGATGCTCAAATTTAGCCTGTACCTGTTTAAAGAAAGCACAAAAATTATATTTCCAACTAGTAACACAAGGTGGTGGTATGACAATACAAAAACCCTCTGCAACTGAACAGTAAAACCTACCTCCAACTTGTGTTAAAAGTCACAAGACATTGCAGCTCTTTGCCAAACCTGATACGACTAAAAAACAACAATCCAGAAAAATAAACATCCGTATTAGATTGTTGGCGTGAAAGCCAGGCTACTGCACACAAAGTACAGGTGGAAACCATGAAGGGTACTAAGGGAATATGAGATTTCCTACTAGATTTTACTATATTTTTATTGTATCAAAAATGAGGAGGCTTTTAGAGAGGAAACAGTTACCACCGGAAGGAGTAAAACAGGACCTGTCAAGTAGAATTTACTTCCCTAAAACCAAGTGGGCAAGGAATCATGCAGGCTTTGGTTACATAGGTATGCATTTTCATATAGACATAAATTTTAATATGTATATTAATTACATCTACATATTAATATGTACACACACAGTAAGTCTGGTTGGGGGAGTTACTTGTGGGCTGCCAGAAGTTAACTGCTTTTCTGCAGTAATTGTTCCCCGATTTTCTTTTGACATATTAATGGATTTTACTCTCCAAATGCATTTTGACCAGGGTAAACATATTATGAAATTGTACATGACAACCAAAGGGTATTTCACCCTTCCTCACCTCCCACCTCCCCAGACATAAACTCTCCTAGAAATCTAAGAAATAGGTAAGATTATAAATATAACATTATGCCTGTTTTACACAACAGAGTTGTCAGATTTTATATGTGTGTGTATGTACACCATTTAGTTATTTCATTGCAACAGTTAACCAGATACACCGCAAAAACAGGTACTCCAATAAAAAAATTCAGGGTAGAAACAGTAGGGTCCAAAGCGACTGTGTGTCTCAGGAGAGGTAACGCTGCAGATGGCACCTCCAAGTTTCCTCAAAATGAAGGGTGTGAAAGCAATCTTAAGAACAAAACACATTTCTGGTATTCCTGAGTTTCCAGATATATACAGACACTTCTCAGAGAATGAGCAAGAGTATAGGACAATGTTCTTTAGGAGCAACTGCGTGATCACCTTCCCACCTCAGGAACTGGGAGAACTAATATCCATAATACAACTGCAATGTGTAGAGCTCAGAGAAACCACCTGGTATAAATCATGGAGGGAAAACATCAAAGAGTATCACAGATACCGCATAAGACCTAGCTGAACCTAGGTTGAACATGGGCAAGTATTCTTCCAATGGGATAGCCTTGTACTGAGAAGGACTGAACCTGATTTTTTTTCTCCACAAGTGGCACTGGGGACTTAACAGGCTTAGAAAACAAAGTACTAAGCTGCCTTCTTGTTTGAAACATTCATCTGAATACCTCAGAAAAACTGCTACATGTTTGCTGGGAGACTGAGGTACAGAAAACAACATTAATAAATATACACAAGTTTCCAACTCCAATTAAACTAGTGTTTGAATATAAACACACATGACCACAATAGAGTCTGGCAAAAAGCAGATGAGAAGATCCTGTTTCGCCAGTCCAGCTTGACATGACTAAAACTGCAACAACATATCCAAGAAATGTTCCACATCTCCAAAAATTCTTAAGGCAGCTGGGAATAGATAAGCTTTTTAAAACAAAACAAAACAAAAGCAACAAAAAAAAACTCCCCCGCTTTCAACATGAGGGTTGAGCTTATATTTAATAACTGAACCTGGAGGTCATACAAACATCTTGCCCCACTCTCTTGGGCTGAGTTACAATGCATGGGATTTTTTCATGAAATCTTGTTTTTTACAGAGAAGCTTACACATGAAAAGCACCTACTGTGGTGCTATGGCATACCAGTGTTTCTCAGCATGCTACTAGAGAAGATGAAGAAATATGCACTCATTCTATTCATCACTCTCCTACTTCACCATATTCCCTCTGACTATTACTTGTCCCAGCTATCCACCAAAGCCTTTAGAGCATAAGCTACCTCCTTCCAAAAAAAGACTGCCATTTATAGAATCTTCTAGGTTGGAAAAGACATTGAAGATCATCAAGTCCAACCATTAACCTAACACTGCCAAGTCCATCACTAAACCATGGCCTTAAGCACCACATCCACGCTCTCTAAAATCCCTCCAGGGATGGTGACTCCACCACTTCCCGGGGCAGCCCGTTCCAGTGCCTGACCACCCTTTCGGTGAAGAAATTGTACCTAGTATCCAATCTAAACCTCCCCTGGCACAACTGGAGGCCGTTTCCTCGTCCTGTCACTTGTCACTTGGGAGAAGAGACCAACCCCCACCTCTCTGCCCCCTCCTTTCAGGCAGCTGTAGAGAGCGATAAGGTCTCCCCTCAGCCTCCTCTTCTCCAGGGTAACCACCCCCAGTTCCCTCAGCCGCTCCTCACAGATCTTGTGCTCTTGTTTGCTTGTGTCTAATCTGCTAATCCAACCAATCTGTGTAATCAATGTTTTTTATTTTAAGCATTGCTGCCCTCAAAATATTAGGAAATTATGAACAGACAGGCATGCTTACCTGTTGCTCAGCTTCTTTCAACATTGCTTCTTTCTCCTTCACTCTCTGCACAAAATGTTGTCTCATCTCCTCCTCTTTTCTTTGCAGTTCCAGGTAGAACTCGTGCCTCTTTGCCTCATAGGCTTCCTGTAGACTGAAGTGCAAAAATGTAAGTGAGTCTCCAGCACGCTACTTTATTCAGTGTGGAAAACCAACCATTTGCAACATTATTTGAATAATTAATATTCATCTGAAACATTAATTTCTACAGCTCCCCACATTAAAATTCATAAACAAACCTAAACAGAAGCAAGCATCGTACCTTTCTAAATTTGTATTCAGGTAAACAACCCTGAGTAAAATTATTTACGCTAACAGCTCCTGGACAATTTACATTTCAAAGTACATACAGCACTTCAGGAATCTCATGTTCTAAAAGACTTGAGTTTTAACCTTCTACCTCCAACATGCAGAACCTTTTTCTTTAAGTTACTTATTAATAAGACACCAAAAATGCCAGAAAAATTCCCCAAAAATTTCTGCATTGTGAAACATCAGTCCTAAAATAGGACATTACAAAAAACAATGCATCTGGAGCATTAAGACAACTAACAAACTGAATATTCCTATATGAAAAAGGAAGGAAAGTAACAGGACCTTCAAAATATACAGCACTCTCTTTATGTCATGTCAAAATTTAAATATGGTAGAGTTACATTAATATAGAATAAATATAAGAGTCTCCAGCATGCTACTTTATTCAGTGTGGAAAACCAACCATTTGCAACATTATTTAAATAATTAATATTCATCTGAAACATTAATTTCTACAGCTCCCCACATTAAAATTCATAAACAAACCTAAACAGAAGCAAGCATCGTACCTTTCTAAATTTGTATTCAGGTAAACAACCCTGAGTAAAATTATTTACGCTAACAGCTCCTGGACAATTTACATTTCAAAGTACATACAGCACTTCAGGAATCTCATGTTCTAAAAGACTTGAGTTTTAACCTTCTACCTCCAACATGCAGAACCTTTTTCTTTAAGTTACTTATTAATAAGACACCAAAAATGCCAGAAAAATTCCCCAAAAATTTCTGCATTGTGAAACATCAGTCCTAAAATAGGACATTACAAAAAACAATGCATCTGGAGCATTAAGACAACTAACAAACTGAATATTCCTATATGAAAAAGGAAGGAAAGTAACAGGACCTTCAAAATATACAGCACTCTCTTTATGTCATGTCAAAATTTAAATATGGTAGAGTTACATTAATATAGAATAAATATAATTTCCTACGCGGTTCAACATCCAAAAGATCGGATTCCAACGTGCATCAACCAAAACCTCAAGATAGCCTGATTTTTCCTGAATCCTCTCTCCCAGAAGAGGATATCGCATACATGCCATGCTTCTATTTAAAATTATATAGGAAGTATAAATAATTCAGATCATTGAGCAAATGTCTGGCAACAGAACAAAACAGCAAGTAATTTAAACATTTCTTTACGTTTAAATCTATGACTCTCTTTGCTCTTTTTTTTTTAAAAGAAAGTTACCCTACTAGACTTTTCAGTACACAAGTCAATTTTTTTCCTCGAGACAACAGGTACTTGAGAAATTTTTTTGTCACAGAAAATAAAAGATGTTGGTAATTTATGCACATGCTACTAGAGGTTTGACATTTTCTGTGTGTATACAACCACTGCTATCACCACAGGAAAACTTCTGCTTTTCAGGAGAAAAGGAATGGAGCTTGTACACAGCTGCCTCTCATACACCCAAGAGCACACTACCTTTGAAAAGCATCCCTGCTTAGTGACACAAGCTCTTCCAACATGATGTCTACCACCAGTTTCTCTAAGTCACAAGATTCCAGAGAGGCAGGATTGGCGGATCACAGCTGTGCTAATAGTTACTACCAAAACCAAAGCACCTGTCCAGTATCTCATAGGATACAGGGCTTATGAATGGGTCGAAACACGTATAATGTTCTAGCTCTTTATTCTGGGGCTCTTCTCTTACACCATTCATCTCTTCCAACACTTCCTGAGTGCCGACTAGTCAGCCTCTCTCAGCTATCATGAGTTACTGTCCTTTGCCAGGTATCTCATGCCCTCCACTCTCATATAAGATATAGATGTATATTAGATTGCTTTATATTTTTAACACAAACACTTCTGTACCAGTTTTTAAGTCTCATCTTTTTTATTAATTCTATTAAAACAGTTTGTAAATGGAATACTTACAAAAAAGGACATCTAAAAACTTAATGATTTAGAGCAACAGTAAGCTTAAACACCTCTCTTCTATATTTAAATTTATGATGACTGGGAAATTTCCCAATCCTAAAGTTTATTATTTGTATTCAAAACATAATCAAAAGAGAGAGGGGAATTATCTCAAAATTGCACATGAAGACTTAATGTCTGTAAGATCTCAAGGTCAGAGCACTTTTCCTGTTATGCAATACATTGCAACAAAATAAATTCAGATGAATGTTTTGGGGTTTCTTAGTTTTTTTTAATCAGCTGTGAAGGAACTTAGGTCATCCTGAAATCATAACTACCATGTGAAACAAGGGCACATTTTTCACACAGGTATATGAATTCACACTATCTTTAAGTTTAGACAGTGTATGTAATAACAATAAAGTCAGAGCACAGGTTTTTCAAGTGCTAGCAATCTCACCACACACACCTTTGGGCCCTATGTCAGGTCTGCTAGCTAACATGCTGCCTTCGGGTGCAATAAACCCGCTAGAACAAGTGCTAGACTAAGCTAGGATGCTGCAATCGCGCCTTCAGTTCATTATGTGGACATCTTTAGACACAACCTAAGCTAGTTCGTGACATAAAAGCAATTTTGTCTTGAACATAGTAAAAGATTAAGTTTGAAGGCACTGGGTTTACTAAGTAATCAAATTACACATACAAGGAAGGGGAGAAATAAAAGCGTATTTTTTAAATCTCCCCTCTCCGTGGACTGAAATGTTCTGGAAATCACAAAGACAAAATCCAACTTTTTCCCCTTCTGTGCTTGACATATCAGCAACATAATGATCCAAATAGTCTTGGTTTTCGGAGGTTTGGGGAGGAAGGGAAAATAGTTCACCAAATCTTAAGTCAATCCTTTCAATGTTTCTACATCCACTGCTCTCAGCAGAACATTTTTCTGGTTTCCTGGAGACTGGTTTCACTGCTTCTCATATAACACATTATGAGAAAAATTCACAGCTTCTCTCATTCTTCTGGGCTGGACCTCTAGAATTTTACACTCTACAAAACCACTTGAAAAATTCAGATGTTAATGATATTTAAATAATGTGTTCTTATTGCGGTTTTGGAAGAAGGGGAGGGATTGTGAAGAAAGTCTATACTTCACTAATCCACTACATACCTGAATCCTCAGCATACAGCACTGTCACCTACCTTTCTACAGAAGCATAGCTGTGACATGCAGTTTTTCTATCTGCGTAAGACTTAGAACATGGAAGCCTAAATATAAAGATGCAAATCAAACATGTTATGTTCATAAAGACTGAAGTTAATTCAACCCTCAGTGGAACACAATGTTGGTACACTTTGAACAACACAGATATTTACACAGTATTTTACAGTTTGTTCATTGAAATTTTAAAAAGCTTTAAAATTTGAAAACTGTATTTGTAATTTTTTGCATTACTTTCGACTATCAATTAAGGTATATCAAAAAAAATTTTTAAAAATTGAAAGTTAACTAGTGGTAGGTATTTTCAGCATGGTCCCTCAAGTCGGTGAACTACATAAGTTGGTATCAAGTAACACCAAGGATGCGTCAGATGTAAACAATTACCATTTTCCCACTGGAGGCATGAAAAACAGGTATTTTGGATGCGGTACTGTCTTCTCATAATGAGATTAAAATACTTAGCTCAAGCACAAAGGCCTGTGGTTGGTTGGATGAATTCCATTCCCAAGTGACTTCTTAAGGAAGAAGTCTAACAGCCTTTCAGATATGAGGCTTCCTTCCTTAGAAAAGGCAACTAGAGTCACACCAACCTTCCTCTACATGTGAACTTACGTTAGTGAATCCTTCCTGTTTTCCTGTCAGCATCTTCAAAATAGACTGAAAAATGAACATGCTTTTGTGCGAGAACCGCAAGGTCTGAATATCCCAGTTTCAGGGAGGCATAAAGCATAGAATACACGATCGCTCACATACTGAGAAACTGAGATGTTTATGTCACAATTATCTTTAACTTCAGTTATGATGAAGAACAAATTGTAATTACGAGCACAGAAAAACAACTAAACCAGGGAAGAATTATCAGAGAATCCAAATATGCAAGCATGCTGCCTGAATATCCCTCTCCAGCTTTTTTCAACAGACTCTAGCCTATTAGTTTTCATCTTTCAAAACAAGAACGTCCCCTTCAGCAACAAGATAGGTTAGGTTGGAAAATGGACTTGCAAAATGTCCAACTTCAAAACAGTAGTAATGATCTCCACCCTTGTAAACATTTAAGCTTACTAGGTGTGTACATATTTAAAAGTTTGTTTGGCTGGAAGCACTCTTCATATATAGATTTCTGTTTTCAACTATCCCAAATTTTTCCATTCTGGACACCTCTGCAATTATCTGTTGCTGAGACTGGCCTGAAACTAGGAATTCAGGTACCTAATGGACATAATTGGACCATCTAAAAGTCAGGACTAGACGATCCACATAAAAAAAAAAAAAAGGTCTATCTTTACATTTCAACAAAAAAGAAAAGCAAATCCCACTTTTGAGTATTAAAATATTATAATAAAAGCACTTCCTGAGTTTTACGTGTAACAGATGCTGCATAAAATATATAAATCACTCTCCCAAATACTCTGCTATCCACTGATTTCATTACATGAATTTTGCAGCAACAGGTTTTCCAAGCCCATTCCTGATCAGATGCTTTTCATGGCTTGGAAACCAAATTATACTTATATGAATACGTTTAGCCTTAGATGTTATCCCATTTATCCCCTGCAGCATCATATGACGGATTCTTCATTTTTGAAGTGGTTTACTCCACGTTATATTTCAATCTGATACTGTAATTCTCATAACCTTTTGGAACAATACTCCACTACAAGGCTGAAGTATTCATTAAAAAGCTTCGTAAATTATTTTTGCAAGGTGTATGAATGAGGTTGAGTTCCCAATTACCCATTAATTGAAGTTATGCTAATTATTGTTATCCAATTTAAATAAATAATGGTTTGATAAAATGCCATATAAATCAGGTGTCCTGAAAGCAGCAGAATAGCCAAAATTCTATGCATGATTTTATGTTCTATTCTCTCAATGACTGTAATACCCGAAGTTCTGCCTACACCCTTACCCCTTTTTAACGATATAATTAGTGCCCCTCCATACTTCCTAAATATTCCTTACTTATTTTGTGTACCCTCGTGGATCCTTCATATGCAACAGCCGAAGCTACTTCCAAATCACCGATGACCTTCTCATAGGTCAGTAGCAGCACTACCAAGCTCCCAAGAGTTTCAAAAGACAGTACTTCATTCAGAGGTAAGGATTTACTGGCAACAAATCCACACTGGCTGGCCAAAAACTCGTAGGAGCAGAGGTCATCTGCTTCTCCTGCAGTGAGAACACTAACCATGCAATCCCCTGGAGGTATCCAACTCTTTACTGCAGTTTGAAAATGGAGAGCTGGTTCCTGAGTTATTTAGGGAGAGACTAACAGACTGATCATGTAAATTTTCCCTGGAAATCTGGTTAACGAAAAACTTAATTCCTAAAATGAAGTTGCAAACAAACAAATTAAAAAGTTATTATGACACAAATTCACAAAAAATATAGGATTAGGGAACAGGTATTTTTAAAAGTGTACACAGGACAGTTGTTTCTGACTACTACTATCTTCCTTTTCCCTCCTCATACCTAGTAATAAAGATGCAAACATATTTTTCCATCGTGTGCTGAAACCATCTCTTTCTGTGTCTTCTGTGAAAATCTCTTACATTTCTGGACACAAGAGTCTTCCGGTATCCCATAAAAAGAAAAGCTTGCCAACATGTTTTTTCCACATGTTAAGACTGAAAGCCTTTACAGATGTCTGCCCACGACTTACCTCACAAGGTAGCTGAAAATCCAAGAATTACTGGTTTTGCTTTGCACTGGTATACAATTTTGGAGGAGTAAACTACTGTTGTACTTTTAAATCCAAAAGAGTGGCACAGGAACTACACAGGCAGCTTTTTCATGACACGCCAACAGGCAGGGCAAGTTAGCTACTCGAGTGTCAGTGTTCAAATGCTACAAATCCCGGTGCAGTAAAATCAGCCAATTATTCAAGTCTAGCAGAAATTTTCTAAATTTACATAGAATAACCCAATTCAGATTACCGAATTTAGTATGCAGACAGCTACCTCACGGATGCAAAATATGACTTCTCAACATGAATTTTGATTATTATTTACACACATAGCATGAAATTTTAATTATCAGTCATATACTGCTATGCAATATTAACTAAGCTTTGAAACTGCAGTTCTTAGAATCCATGTGTAAATACTGGAAACATCTTTAAGGACAAGGAGGATGACAATTTAGTAACACATTTTTTTCCTAGAAGAACAGGATCGTCCCTATTCTGAAAGATATTTAAATTTACAAGTCAACACAATGGGAAGCACTTAACTTCCTCTACAGAAAGTGACGTTTTCTACCACACTGCCGAGGATGACGCTTTTTACTGTTTCCTCAGTAGCTTCATAAAACACCTTATGGTTAAGCCTACATTACTCTGCTAATTACACTACACACTGATCCTCTAAATTCTCCTCCTTTTTTATGGTATCATAAAAAGCCTCTCCCAAAGGATCAAATGCCTCCTCTTTCAGATCTCAGTGTCATTCACTATGCCACATAACCGAGGGATAATCACGCATTCTAGATCCAGTCCCACCTTTCATGTCACAGTAAATCTGGGAAGAAGTTCATTTTTCTAGATTCTTACAGAATACCTGTTCTCATCCTTTCAAAACCATGACATTTTCAATAGATCTATTTACCAAAAGTAATTAAGTGTATTATCTTGCCACAAACCTCTCAATAAACTGACATTTAGTGGGCTACACATGAAAACCACACACCAGAGGGAACTTAGCTTTTATGTATCTCCACCAAGCAATCCATTTCTAAAGCAACTTCTGAAGTGCAAAATACTATGGCATTCTGATACAACCCTGTCACTTTATACCATTGGTAAAATGTGAACAATTTAGGGGTTTTACAAAGACAATTATTGCATTTCTGGAACAAAGCAGTTCTGTGAACATTTATTTTTATAATTCAACTCTTGAGATGGCGACACACTGTGAAATTCAAGTTCAGAAAAGCCAAAGACACTGCAGACAATATTACAATGAAGCAATCCCTAAAAAAGTCTTTCCTTGGACAAAGATAAGAAGATATCCACTGTTAGTGTATGTTCTTAAAGTTAAACCTAAACCCAATGAAAAGTCTACGGTCAGCTTCAGTGGGTTTTAAACCTCACTCACCTTGGGTTCTCTCTTTACAGAAAGGATTTATTCCTTTCTTGTTAGGCAAAGGGAAATGTCAAGAAACCACTATGATTCATGGTCAGCTCAAGATCATGTAAATGAACTGATCTTTAAGTGTGCCTTGACATTAAGACCTCAGAAAGAAGTGCTCACATCCAGCATCTTCCTTGGCCACATTAATCTTATTTAATTATTATTGTTTGAACAATATATAAATTAGACCTAGTCAAAGTGAAAGAAATGCTGCTCCATCAACATTCTATGGCAACTGCAACAGGGGAAAGCAAATAATTTAAGCCACTAAAAACAACTATTTGGAGGGAAAACTCTTAGAAGTCATTTATTTTTACAAGAACAAAATGGGTAACGACAGTCTGATCGCTAAGTAAAACCAGAAGTAAACAAACCAGTGGGTTCAAAGCACTGGAAACTGGTTTTAATGCAAAGTCGTATTTTGTTTTCATGTCTGGTATTTCCCACCATGACTATGGAATAACAGCAATTTGCTAAACAGTGAAGGCTTGAACAACTCCTGAAGCATTAGTTCTTCCCTGTCAGGATTCTGACAACTTCAAAATATAGTCCCATGTGTAAAATAACCAAAGGAAGTTGGAAGAGGGAGAAGGAGATGACAGAATTGGAAATAAAAGATTAAAGAAAGTGGATATAAAAACTGGATATAAAGTGGATATAAATACCTCCTGCAGAAAGCAGCTTTACTACATGAAACAACCAAGTGTCTCTGACCCTCTTCTTAACTTTCCTTTGGAATTCTCTATTAACTTCCTACAGTCTAGCAAGAGATTTCCTGACCTGAAAAGGCTAGACATCTGTTATTATGGCGGATAATGTGGGTAGCCAACAGTGCAACCAACAATTTTGTAGAAGTTATTGCTTCAGTTCCTTCTGAACTTTGAGTCCAATCAAACTGTTGTTCAGAATTAGACATTATTAAGAGAGAAAGTAAAAAAGCATGCTACTAGATGATGAAAACAATTTAAAAGGCATAAAGTGCATGTACCTGAAGAAAAATTACATTCTTCCTGACAAAAATTAAAATCCCCAGGCTTATTCGAAAAGAGAAAGATTTCAAAAATACAACTTCCTTGTATGCTCTTAATAGCAATGACATATTATCCCATATATTTCTCCATGAAGATAACTGAATGAACACCTACATACTTACTCTGATTTTAAAAATCCCAATTCTTTCCCTCTCAGAAAACCTATGCTATGCATGAACCCTGAATTGGGCTGATAGAGTCAAATGTGAAGTGAATGGATGCTGAAAGCGATGCTGCACATGAAGTCCTTTACCTGACTGGTTTGTTCTCAGGACCAATGTCTCTGAAGCCCATCTCTTCCAACCGGCAGCGTCTGTACAACTCATAATGTTGTGCATGAGTCTGCTCTCTTAAGTCTTCCATATTTGTACAAATAAGCATCTCGCGAAGCTTCACAAAGTCACAGTGGTTCTCATTTTCCACTAATCAGTTAAAAGAGGGAGGTTTTATTATTATGCACAAGTAGCAAAATTGTCAAAATATATTTTAAACAGTGTTGATATTCATTTATTTCATTTACTAACTATACTTCCAGGAAAATCTCTCTCTGTTTATTATACTTCTTATACTTCCTGATAATCTCTAATATACACACTGAAGGACTAACTGTAAATACTCGTGAACATGTTCCAACACATCCTGACTTCCTGTTCAAGTAACAATGGTAAATTTCTCTCTTTTGTTCCCTCTTCTTTACTGACAATCATAAAACTTGGAAATTTGGTCGTGCTAGAGGCACTGCCACCATACCAACCTACCCAAATACTATATACCGCATCTCATAGCTTGATTCCAGGGATTCCTCAGTGCTGAAACTACCAATTAGTGCACAACTCAAGTATTAATTGCTAAACTCCATAAACTGTTGATCCAAAATACAGTCAATATGGCAGCAGTGGATAATACCAGCCCCTTTTAGTATATAAAATAGAATATAAAATTTCAACAACAAAAATCCTGTCAAAATACCTTTGAGAATTCATTTACCTTGTACAATGCCCCAGGGGTACTGACGAGCTCTCACCATTTTGTTTCCAATTTTCACCTTTTCCATACTTCCTACTACAGCAAATGGCAAATGTCCCTGTAAGAGTCACACCAATATAGACTTATCTCTCAGCATTACATCAGAACTGAAAAGCAAACACTTCAGAAATAAATCGGGGAGGGGGGTGGAAAACACCATTTCAGGAAAAGCCAGCACGCAGTTTCAAACTGGAAACCACTTTGAAGAGATCAGAAGCTAGTCAAGCTAGTGATACAAAAGTCAAGCTGCAACAACAAAACCAGGGGGAGCAGTTGATAGACCAGATGGGTGTGCTGCCAATTCAGAGGAACATCGACAGGCTGGAGAAATGGGCCAACAGGAATCTCACGGAGTTCAGACGAGAGCAAAGCCAAGTCCTGCACATCAGGACGAATAACCCCGTGTTCCAGCACATGCTGGGGGCTGACTGTCTGGAAAGGTACTTTGCAGAAAAAGACCTGGGGTTCCTGGTGGACAACAGGTTGGACTTGATTCAGCAGGTTTGCCTCAGCGGCCAAGGTGGCTGACTACCTCCTGTGCTGCATGGGGAAGAGTATCAGCAGTAAATAGAAAGTGGCTCTAGAACACATCCTTCTGATTCGCATTCAGCCAGAGTTCATACCCCAGGAACAGTCATGAGATGATCAATGGTTGGAACCAGAGGTAACGTTACGGCTGTGGGCTCAGGTGAATGGCCAGAAACACAGGCTGTGTACTGACAGCCTGGGTACTGACAACCAGCAACTGACCATGTTAAAAAAAAAAATATGTAATTAGCAGGAAAATAATCCACTAGGAGAGCACAGAAGAGCTACATAACAGACCACCACCTTTCCCCACAGCAGACAGAGCTGTTACTCAACGACAGCCTGCACACCCTCACTCCCTGGCACAAGCGACAGAGGTGGGGACTGCAGGGCCATACACCCCGGCATACCGGCCCCTCCTCCCCACTTTCAAACCCCAGTGCATGCAAACCTACATCTGTGTGCATCTCCACACACATGCACATGAACAGCAAATACAGACAGAGTGCTCAGAGCAAAGGCTTCTAGCTTTACAATCTTAGCTGATGCTGGCAGATACTCCTGGGAGGATCTGAAAGGATAATAGTAAAAAAGCCAGAATTATATCTGGCTTTTTAATCCCCAGCAAAAAATTGTCATAATTTCAAAGGAAAGTACTAAAATAAAAGGAAAAAACAGATGGAATTTGTGCTATCATAAAGACCAGAGACAAAATGGAGAAACACGGCAGTTGAATATCTTCCCTAACAGATGTAAGGTAGTATTTGCTGAGGAAAAGACCAAAGCCAATCTGCCCACCTATGTCAGTAGTTATATATTAATTATCCAGAAATGAGAAGTATTTATGAGTGAGAAGCGCTTTTCTGTTACTGAGCCAGGAAAGAAAAAGCCTCCTAGAACAAGTGGAATCAACAACGGAGGGACAGGAAAATTTGAAAGTAGGGAAAAAAAAAAAAACCAACAAACATACAAGCTTTTTAAGGAGAGAGAAAAATAAACAAACTTGTTACATACCAACCTATAAGCCTCAAGATAATGGTGAAAGAACAGACAAGAATCAGCATTAGAGGGTGATGCTTTAGTACTGAAACATCAATGTTTTTGTCATTTACTTACATTCATGATGGTATTAATTTTAGAAACGCTTTCATCATCAGTTGGAAACTGGTATATCTGGATGCCATTACTAACTAATTCACTCATGATTTTGTCCTTGAACTTCTGTAGTTCGGTTTTAGAAACGCTGTCTGCTTTGCCTATAATTGGTATAATGTTCACCTATTGATACAAATTATATGAAATGTGTAAGACTTCAATTTTGAGGTGACATCCTTTATAAATTAAATTATTTGGTAATAAGCTCTTTAAAACTTCCCCTGCAGTCCAAACTTTTCCACCAACTGATATCAAAGATTCACAAATAATGAAAAATGCATTCACTGGCATAATTTAACAAAATAACAACAGATTATTTAATATACTCCCTTAAAATTAATTGATTCTGAGAAAAGAACAAGGAAGGAGGTCCCATACAGTGAAGTACTCTAAAGAACCGCAATGTCTACTTATTAACTAAACTACATTAAGCATTTATAGCTCTGCCGAAAAAATAGATAGTTTTAGTTTATAGCACCAGGGGACACAGTTCAGGTGTTAAATGAAAATTGACAGTTTAAATACACAAAGAAAAAGAAGCTGGCTACCAAACCCTGCCTACCTCTGAGCCTCTACTTTGCATTCCTTTCAGCTACAACGCCTTGTTCACCTCATCACTGCAGCAAAGAGCTTCTCAAATATCTGCTGCGAGCAGAGGGATGACGGAGCGTGGAGAATCTTGCTTACCAGTGATTCAACTAATTATTCAGAACTCTACCTTGGAAGACCTGAATTTCAACTGCCTTATTTCCTGAAATGGTTATGACAGTAATTTAGGAAGGTAGTAGATGCCAAATTTTTCATTAAAATACTATCACCACTCCCCAAACATGTGTTTTTCAGAACTTAATACAGAAAATTAATGCCAATGCCCAAATATTTTGGAAGAACAATACAAAAAATTCTTCCAGATTTCAAAAAACAAGTTTTATAGAGTTCCTTGATCACAGATTCAAAAAGGAAGGAGGAAAAAAAACCCAAACAAATAAAACCAAAACAAACCCACAAAGCCGCACACATTCTTTTTATTCTTCTGAATACTCTATCTGAATGGAAATGCCTAAGCATGGAATCTCAAGAACGGATTCAAAATTGATGTTTTTAAATAAGTCTTCTGTCTTAGGCAAAATGTCTAAATGAAAATAAAGCATGCCAACTCCAAAGTATAATTTCTAAGATTCCTTGACAATAGTCCTTCGTTGTGTAGCATACATAACCTATCTGCATATGGGGTAAAGTATCTAAAATCAAACAAAATGCTAAAATATCTTTTGTTTTTATAACTGAGTTAATTTAGGAGGGTATAAACAGTGTATTACAGCTAGCAGTAACTCACAGCTTCAGAATTAAATTACCTTTTACTCTGTCTTTTCAACATGAAAGTTTCTCAAGCACTCATTAATCAGGAGAAAATTTCTTCAGTAATGAATAGCAGAGAAAAGCTACTGAGGGGACCAGTAACCAAAGAAAAGAAAAATTGCCAGAAACTGCGATTACAGCCATCAACGTTGATGTTAAATCACAACCATTGTATTAAAATTTAGAAGCAATACTACTCAGGCTTTAGATAAGCCACAACACCCACACCACCCCACACCCCCCCCTCCCCAAAAAAAGTTATCTTTGCTTAATCTTTTAAATAAAATTAATTTCTCCCTACAACACCTAAGGTTTACTTGAAAACTAGTATCTCAGCACCTTCATCCAAGAATAGCAGTAATTGAAAGCACAGATTTGTACCAACGACACTGAAATTGTATTGATCTGGACCACACACAGATGTGCCCCAAGTCCCACTGCTCCCTCCTATGCCTTCTTCTCACTCAGAAACCAACTGACTCCCTTCCAGCCTCTTCCCCAGCTACAAAACTGACTTTTGCTATAAAGCTATAGGCCGTTAGTACAGAATCACTTTAACCCCACGTCAACAGTCTACACTTGGAATAAAACCACAGTCCTGCCCTTCCCCTTGCCTGCCGCTGCTCACTGCCAGGTAGAACTAAAATCTGTGCAGCTGTCCAAGGAGACAGACTAGTTTTCAGCTTGATCAGTTCCCTAACCAAGCAAAAATCTTGGGCTCCCAATTTAAATCAGCTCCCTCATCCAGATGAGGAGCTCGCTGCCCAAAACACTTAAGCCTGCACAAAGGGAAGAAGCAGCTGAGGCTGCCTCATTCAATAGCAACACAGAACAGCCATATAAAGTCACCAGGATAAACTTTATCCATGCACATTACTTCTCTGTTTGCTAGCACTAAATTCAGCCCTCTGATTACCCTTCTGCCTGAAATGCAACGTTACTTCCTCCTTCCTCCGGCAATTAGAAAATATGCTATTACTCCAAATCATTATTTTCATGTACACCCTTACATTAATGTCAAAACATCTGTTCCCCCTTCATGCTATAGTGAGGAAAAAAAAACCTGTATACTTGAAATTTTTATAGGTTGATATCTTGCAGGGTGACTTAAGTGTATCCCTATAAATCAACAGAAGCATTTCCGAAGATTCTTTTTGAAGAAAAAAAAAAAAGAAACTCAAACCCCACAAGGCACACTCATGCCATTTCTTGACTTAACAGTAATCTGTATATAATTCTGCAAGAATGACTTAAAAATGCACATCTATTGGTTGAAAAAACACTAGTTCCCAGCAAGAAAGCGTACAGAAGACAACTCCCTTGATCCTGTGGATGAAACATGACTGCTCTGTAGTGACTCAGTCCTAAGCAAAACTATAGGACTTTCCAATGTCTTAAAGCCAGAGGCCAAATTCTTAGCTAGTCACCCAATTTATAAGCAACAGAGAAAAATTAATTGCCCACAGACAGGTCTGTTTTCTTCTCTCAGGATTACAGAGTACAGGATGACCCTGTCCTATGCCAAGAATCCTCTTTACCTCTGAGCTGTGTTTTGTGCCAAGCAGACGGTAACGAAAGCCTAACAGTGTACACTGTAGTGGATTTAGGAAGAAACTGAAGAGAACTTTTGACACAGATTTATACACTCAATGCATGCATGTCGTGGTACCTACCACCTTCTCCTTACGGAATCCTGTACTCAGTAAACGTGCCCAAGAATCCTGGGAAATCCTCAGTTCTGAACTGTCACTAGGACAACGCAGTACTAAAAGCACCACAAACATGTTCCACAGTGAGATGGAAACCAACTACAGTTGAAGTATATACTATTGGTTGTGTGTATATGGATATTTCCGTAGTAAGATCAGAAAGTAGAATCCATGCAAAGGGATAAATCAACAAAGTTACATGGCGTCCGTGTTCTCTCTGAGCCAAAGCAGAACCAAAAATATTTAGAGTAGGTGGCTAGGAGCTAAATTCCCTCAAAGCAAAATTACTTTGGTTTTACCCTGATGGAAAAATAATTTTCTCAGGATGCTGGGACTCATGGTTCCACTTCCTTTTCTTCTGGAAGAAACACTGTTTTAAAGGGAATTCAGTAAAGAGAGGGCACAACCTAGAAACTAAGTATTTTTGTTGGTTTAACACAACCTCCAACTTCAAAACTCAGGGTAGAACAATACGCTCCGTGAAACTGTCCCATTTTCTAGTATCGAGGCTCTTTAGCTACCTGTGCATTTTACAGAGTAGTTTGAAACATGAGTCTAGTATAAACCAACACCATAGCAGAAAGAAGTGACCCTGCTCTCCCCTACCTTTGTCCCATAATACCTCTCCCCAACTTGCCCTGTGCTTTTGAGAAAGTTCAAAATTCAAAATACATCCACAAACAAAATTACAAAAAATACCAAATGTGCTCATCAATCACAAACGTGGAATAAGCAGCTGATTTGATCATTGTTATCTTGAAGAAATATCTCACAAACAAGAAAGCACAGAAAGAAAATTTAGCAGGAGAAGCTCTAGTAAAGCACAAAGGAAAGGGTTAGAGAAACAGCAAATGCATTTAAGTTTTCAAATTTCTCAAAATTTAAACATATTACACCCAAATGATGTAAGTTTTTTTAAAATGGGTTAAACAGCTTCATGCAGTTCACACAGCCTCATTACAAGAAGAAAGTTAAAAATTTACAAAAAGCAAGTAATCACACTAGAAACTGCTATTTTAAAGCTTTCAAAACAAATCAAGAGGTGAAGTTTAAAACACTAATGCAGCCTATCTTAAAAAAAGCCATTCTGGCAGGGTGCTCTGGTCACAGCACTTGCCTCTTCCGCTATCTGTAACGAAGATTTTCACAGTGCTGCAAAGCTTTTTATATGCCAACCTCCCAGCAGTCCCAAAACTCAATAGTGAACCAGAAACAAGCTTAATTAGAAAAATACAGCACTCATGGAGGGTACGCTATCCAATTTTATAAAGAGGTTAACAATTTGTTAAAAGTTGGTGTGATTCTAATTTTTTTTACTTATTTTTAAACCTCTTTGTGCTTCTTCAACGTTCTTGCGGATGTCTCTCTCTCCCATTTTGATTTGTAACTAAACAGGTGATGAACTGCAAACTACTTGCAGAACCAACTTATTCTGAACTTAAGGTATACCAGTACCAAAAAAACCTCCCAAAACCAAACACATGGATACAGAACTGGAAGGTGGTAGAGGATCTAAAAGCTGCAAGATGCTTCAGAAAATAAGACAAATTCTTAGAACTCTGTTTCAAAGTCTTACCTTGCTGTCTAGGCTTTTCATGGTTAACAAATCTAGTGTTTTTAGGGAATGGCCTGTAGGTGAAATGAAATAGAGGCAGACATGGACGCGAGTATCATGGTAGCTAAATAAAGAACGTTTAATTTTCAGTTCTTCCTGGAGATAGGCTTCAAATTGTGCATCTATATAATCCACTATTGGCTGATAGCTGTAAGAAATAAAATTTAACAACCAGAGATTAGCTACTCCTAAACAGAGCCAGACTAATAAATGAACTCCTCTTGCATTGTTTTGTAGATTTTTGCTTTACATGTCAAAAAGCTGCTCAAGTATCTATCCATCAGCACAGAAAATCAAATGTAATCTTAATTTCTGAAAGATTACTCAAAAAAAATTGTGCACCTAATACAGATAAAACATTTCCTAGCTACTACTAGTGAAAAAAGCTACATAAAGCTAGTTATGATTACGACCAATCTTCCCAAGTGATGTTTTATAAATTTTTGCAATCAAGCTGTGCAACTGCAGAACTCTTAGATACAAGGAAGATACAAGAAACTCTTAGATACATACAAGGAAAGAGAGAACATGCAATTACCAGTACCAAGAAATAGGACCTCCTTTATCTTCTGAAGATGAAGTACTGTACTCTTAATAGACAAAAATTGAAAAGGAGGAATGTAAGAGAAGAATGTAAATCTGATTTGAAATAAGTACAGTTTAAGTACACTTTATCCTACTTAAAACAAGATTATAATCTGCTTTCTAAAAGAGTGTGTTACTAGGTGTACAAGCAGCGTGCCCTCACGTCTCTGCTCCCACACCAGACCAAATGCTACCAAAATTCAGAAGTAGTTACACACAAAATTAAAAGAAGGACTAAAAGGCAGGTCCTATACCACACATCAAAACCTCTAATATCTATTCTAATACCTACATGCATCTCACTCATCCAAGTCACTAGCAGTAGCTATTTTCCAGTCATATCATAAGCCATAGCTCTCACAATAATCTTAATGTGACTCTCTAACCCTCATTTATAAATACCACCATTAGGTACTCACATAGTACAAAGGGTTGCTAAAATTCTTTACGATTAAGGTAAAAAAAAAAAAAAATCTGCCAAGATAAAGTGCAATATTTTTAAATCTTCAATTCACAAAAGCAGAGATTCAAAAAAAAAAAGTTCTGGAGGATGCTAGCATAGTACCTCTACATTTTCTGATTAAGTTACAGAATTTAAAACAAAGGCCTTCCATAATCCACACAATGACTCTTCCCGTTTAAGGTCTTCAGTAAGTTCCAAACAAATTGTTAAATACCCTATTGACCTAATCTTTAATCTATAGTACCTTATAACCTATTTGGATGTTTTAACATCTCCCGTTGACCCTGCAAATCCTCCACTCCAAAAGAAACTCCACTCACTATTGCACATTTTATTTACATGTATTTATAAAAGGTTATATCATAAAGAAAGCGGCAGACTTAATCTGCTTTTTTAAATAATTTACTACATGAGAAGAAAAACACGTTTACCTTGGTACACAGAGGAAACAGTTAACCAAATATTTGGAACATATGTAAGACAAATATTTACCACAAAGCCCAAAGAAAACATCAACGTGCAATTGAAGACCAAAACTTCTGTATACTGTAGCAACAAGATGGCACTTACCTATCTTCTTTGTTTATCTGGTCACCAAATCCCACTGTATTTACAATGGTCAGCTTCAAAAGAACATTGCTTTCCTGGAGTTCGTAAGTCTGGGCTCTAAGTCGTACACTCGGCAGAAAATGCGTTGACACAGAGTCATCAAAATTGGTGTTGAACAAACTGTTTATCAAGGTTGATTTCCCACTCCCAGTTTCCCCTAAAGTTAAACAGAAGGGTTGGGGAAGTCATTTCGCACAACAAATAAATATCTACTAAGCACAGAAAGTGTTATCACAGCAACTCACAGTAACAAATTTACACAAAAACTTGTCAACTGATTTCTCTGAGCAAAATGGCCTTCTTTTTTCATAATGAGCACTAAATATCTTGTAGTTTATCTTTTCATCCTACAGATAAGAGTGTTACGTCCTAATGAGTAATAAGCAGAACAGTCTCTTGACACTTTCGTTTCTTGAAAAGCGTGAACTAATTTCCTATAGATTTTTAAAAGCTAAGTAACTAGCTGTGAAATCACGGAGTTCAACACAGTCTTTTTATGAAAAGGGTAAAATACCAGAGCAAATATTTGATAAGTACAGAAATACTTCAGCAAAACCACCTTGGAATGATAGGATTTTTTTATCTGAAGCTCTTTATTACAGTAAAAATAGAGTGTAGCCCAGTTTACCCAAAAGAAGCCATGAAGCAGTCCATAAATGGATAAATGCATGGCATCCATTTTTATACATTTTGGGTCTTCATGCTGTTTATGCAAATGCTAAATATAAAAACAAAGCGCAGATACAAATAAGCAAAGCTGGGGAAAGGGTGGATTTATAGTTCATGATTAACATGAAAGAAGGAGTTCAACATTGCAACTGGATTTAAAATTCAGTCACTTCCTTAAGGATAGGTCTACTACTGAAGCCTTAAACCACCCAGATACTACTTACCAATGCAAAGAATGTTGAAGCAGAAACCTTGCTTGATGGATTTCTTAACCAGTTGATCAGGTAAACTACCAAAACCAACATGCCCGGACAAGGATAAAGTTCGATAGCCATCATTTTGCTACAGAAAAATAATTTTAAAATATGTTAGCGAAGTGAGTTGCAAAGCAATTAGCAGTGGCAACAAAGGAAATCTACTAGTAAGCCAGGATTCATTCCTTATGATTTACACGGGAACAAGAAAAGCAAGTCTAGTAAAAGATCTGTCAAATGAACTTTATTCCATGATTTGAGAAAACATTCAGATTTACTTTACAGCACTATTTGCAGGCTCAAAGTGAAGTCCATGTTTTGCAAGGAAATCCAGTGGAACATGAGCGAAATAAAGCAGACAAGTCCAACTGAAACTGTAAACTGAAAACTGTAAATAGAAAATAGATCGCAGCTGGTTTACTCTTAGAAATGAAGGAAAACATATTTTAAAACAATTCAAGCAGCATAATTCCAAACAGAGAACTCTAAGAGATAATATTATATATATTATTAATGTCTGAAGGTGCACACTCCTTTTCAAATGTCTGCTACAATCTAGCATCTTGATATCAAGGCTATGAGCACACTAAAAATGCATAGGACTAAAAGGAAATATCTTGGGTCATACAAACGGACTGTATTTTTAAGTAAGCGTTCCATATCAAAAGTTTAAACAGTAACAGGTTCATGCTATTCCTTCTCTTATGTTTCAAATCCACCTGGAACTGGAAACCATTACTGGTTCCTGGGAACACGTACATAGCCAACAGTAGGAAATTTTTTATTTAACACTTACAAGCCCATAAAAGAGCCACCTTTTACAACAGGTATGCATAGCACGTTTCAGAGTTCTGGTAGCCAAAAGGATATGGACATTCCTCACAGCAAATACCCATCCTCTTCTTGCTTTGCACAGGACTTCTTGTGTGGGTCTACAGGCTGCACTAACTCTCATTTTAGACTATTATAATCAGATAATTCCATTTTAGACTAATACAATGAGGAAAAATGTGTAAGTAAAGTGGACAGTTTAAAGAGAAATCATGACACTGTAGGGCTATTAACAAAATAAATGTTCATTCAAGCATTCCTGAAAAAGAAACTTCTCAATGTATTCTACCATACAGAAATTACTGTTAAAAAGGGCTGAGAAACACTGAGAACTGTCAGTATCCTGTCCATTGCATACCTGAAACATCTAACAACTATAGCTACACAGTCTGATACTCAAGCAACCTCTATCACCACCAGTAAAGCACAGTTCCTCTAAAACAAACTATTAAGCCTCCACACGAAAAGCCAGCACAAGAGGCTTAGCATAACCGTAGAAGGAAAGCCTTTCATCTTCGTGTCACCGGCCCAAATCCAAACCGTGCTGGGCTACCCTCAAAACCCCTGCATAGCCATTTGTTACTCTCCAAGAAAAAAACCCAGCAGAAAGAACTTAATTTTCTTCCAGTCCTTGGATTCAGTGGACAAACCACCGATGCCCACAACCTTACTGACTATTTCCAGAGGCCATTAGAGTAACTACCACATCATCCACAAGAGGCTATGTCGGGATTAAAAAGTGTTTAGCTGAGGAAACTGGTATTAGAGGTGTATTTGCTGTTCGAAGCCAAGCACCGAAAGAGATGACTGGAGTGCTCACTGCCATTAGCTCTGTAACTTCATTTTCAAAAGGAAGGGAGAGATTAATTACAATTTAGCAATTAAACTCAAGTTTGTTGTTTTCTGGAAACGAAAATCAACAATAATCAGTTCTTCCACTCTTATATTGGCTGTTTATCACTGAAAATTTGACCAAATTTGTGTGTGAAACAGAAGGACAATAGGAAATAATAAACGTGCAAAACAAGGGGCCTTCTCTGTGCCTTGCTTAGAATGCTAAGGCTGTGCTTGTAACTCAACATCTGGCTGTACCACTACTTAAAAATTCAGATCAGACACCCAAGATGGTTAATTTCTTTGTATTTCTAAATTTCTCCCAAAGATGCTTCTTACGGACATGTAGTGCAGCCAAGAAAGAGAGTAATAATTTCTGCAATATGTAATAATTTCACACAATTGCCAAGATATTCTGAGACATCTCAAAGGTGCTGCTATTTTAAGATAGCATATTTCATCTTTCTTCAGTACCTAAAAGTTAATTTAAGGACATTACACAGTTACGAGTGAAAACTGAAACTATTTTTCTGGAAATGTAAATATATAAAAGTACATGGCAAGTTCTATGGCATTTCAGATACAAGACAAAAAAATTGACACAAGACAGAAAACTCCTGGTAAGGTGTAAAAATAGATTACAGAACCTAGTACTTAGAAGAACTTCCCCAGTACTGAAATTGTGTTTCATGCACAGCTTTCTTCAGTGCTGTCTGGTTGGGGGGTGAGGCGTGGTGAGACATATCATCTTCACTTTGTGCATGCGGAGATGACACAAAGATATAGGTTGACATAATAAAGGGAAAGACTGAGACCAAGAACATGAATCTCATTCAGCCCATGTGTCATTTAGCACTTTAACCACAAGATCACTCTTTTAGTTCTTTTCGACAGAGGTAATGACCCAGTAAACCAAAAACACTAACCACCACCCTCCAAAACCTCACACATTCACCAGCCAATTGCGACCCGACAATGAGAACGTCAGCGCGGGAACATCCAAGAGAGTGAAGAACAAGGATTTCAAGAGGAAATAATATATCATTCACGAGAACATGATTTTATGTCCCAAGGTTCTTGATTTAAAGAGAAGATTGGAAAACTGAAGGATGATCAGAAAGGGATAATTCAGGGTGTCACAAACCATTTTTTTTATAGAGAAACAATACAGAAACACAGCCTACGTAAGCTCTTTCAAGAAAATGGCCAGAGCTGATTGATGACAGGACATATAATGAGGAGACAGCTGGTAGCGCACACACATGGGGAAAAAAAAACAACCCCAACACTACATAAACAGCAAAATTCTAAAAGGTAGAGACAGAAAGATGCAGAACCTGTTTCTATTTTGAAAATACATCTGCTTTGGGGATTTTAAGTGCTACTAAACTGCTCAGACAGTTAGTTGCCCCAGGACACAATGGGGCCTTCAGGAATTAACTTCACCAAAAATGCTGCAATAAAAGCTCTTAATTTAGACTACAAAACTTTCAAGAAATATTGTGCAGCTCAACTCTAGACAGTCTCTGTCACGCTGATTTAGAAGCCCACATTCTTGCGTGTTTGTACGTCTGTTTTCCACGCAACAAACGTTACAGGACTGAGACCTACTGTTCTCATTTAGAAACTCGCCTCCCTCCACCTTCCTTACAGAAGAATCACTTTGTGAAACTGTTCCATCTGACATCACTTGGAGCATTCTCTTAATAGAAAACCAATAGCCTACGTTTTTCCTTCGGAAATTTTCCAAGGGCATCATCACATGTCTCGCCTTTAATGCCAGACCCTCACACAGCTTCACCCTGCTATGGTCTAACAAAGACACAGAGAAATTAAATCCACAAAACTGACCCCGTGATGGTTGCATTCTTACTACTTCTCAAAGAAATAACTTGTCATCCAGCTGAAAAACAAATTACTGCTGTATCACCAGCTTAGAAATATGGTGACAACTCAAAAATTAAGAAATACAAATCATGCTGCAAGCAATTAAGTTGCCAGATTAGACACTCTTTTCATATTAATATCTGTTGGATGGAGCAGCTAAATTATGCTTGAAGACAGCATCTCATCCAACTTTATTCAGTGAATAATTCAAAGCTTGTAATCTGAATGCTACAAGAGCTGTAACACTCCTATAAATGCTCCTTGTTTCTCACTGCTCTCTCAGAATTCATACTCTTATCAAAATAGCACACCGCATAGATCACTTGAGATGGTCCAAATCACATCTCACTCCTTCCCTACCTCCCCCCTTCTCATACACACACCCTCTTTTTAAAGGTTTGGTAGCATAGCTTTCACAAAACTGCATCTTAATTTTCTGCAGGTTCAGTTAATCAAGTACACTGGTTTATATAATGTCATCTTGCCCGTTAAAAACATGCAAAGAAAAATCATTGCCTGAAACAAAAGTAAAATTTTAAAATTGTGGGGTTTCTTTTCTTTCAGAAACAAACTAAAAAGAATTAGTTATATTTTAAATTTGCCACCTGTTTAAGACTAAAACTGCACAACACTGGGCCATTCCATGGCACAAGCTGGGTCTCAGACTACACGCATCCCTCTGCCTCCGGCAGAACCAGACTTGCAGCCCAGGCAAATAGCCAGCTTGCTACCCCGCTTGCCCCAAATTTGCCTTCCAACACATGAAACAAAGTAATCCATGCTGGTGAGCTTACGCAGGACGCGAGGGTCCTGCAGGCCCAGGCAGCCGCGCAGAGGCCCTCGGAATGATGCCAGGGCATCAGCCACGAGGGCGGACAACAACATGCCCATGTGCCTGTGGACGCTCCAAACATGGCTCCTCCGGAGCCAGGAGTTCTCCACTATCACCAGCAGGTGTGGACATTCATTAAACCAGAAAACCTATTTTAATCTTCCAATAACAAATTGGATTACTCTCTTAGAGTCAATTAATTTCATAATAACTAAAGTTGCATTTAATCCAGTAAGTATCAACGCTGCTGTTACCTCCTAACGCACGAGGTAAGTAGGAAACTAAACAGATTTTGGAAGCGAGTCGAAAAATACTTTCCATTTTTGGGTAGTCAAAATGTAAAATGTAGAGGTGTGGTGTAGGCATGCATATCACTGACATCTCTCGATGTCGACAGATGCATGAGAGAGAGAGACAGAACAGATGGGGTAAGTACAGGGAACAGAACGGAAACCTTGGCAAAATAACACAGAAGAGAACAGAAAATATAGGAGGATGAGGTAGAAAAGATACAAAGACACAAAAGTCCATGAAGATGCAGAAACGAAAAACATTCAAAATTACGTGGAATTAATACATCCGTCTATTCTATAAAATAAAAGGCAACACACAGGAGTCAAGTATGGAACAAAACATTCCCCAAAAAACGTGGGTGAGAAAAAAAGTACTGGCCAAAAGGCAGCTCAAAGACAACTCATTTGACAATTCCACTTATAGTTATCATGCAATTCATTCAGTATGACAGAAACAGTAGACAACTTTTAGGGACTGGTCCAAAGAAGCCCAGTATTCTTCCCTCACCTCTTTCAAATGTCTTCTTACCTGGCATTCTGGTGCACCAACTATTTTCCTGCCCACTTCAACACACAATACAACTGAAGTTTTGTTAAACCACAGGTCACCACAAAATTTCCTTCATATGTGTATATATGGAAAAACCTCAGAAAGAACCTGTGGGAGAGGAACGGTGACATTGTTGCCTTACGTTTCTGTCTGAAGAAATCTAAGGCAGGACAGAATCTTCTTGAATGCCCTGAAACCACCCAGGATGGGCAGGGGAAAAGGTGACAGCCTTGTCAGCAGAGAACAAGGGGGCACAATGTGCGGGAAGACAACTCCTCAGCTGTATTTTGAGGTATTTAGGAACGAACGAACAGGCAGAGACACTCTGCTCATTCTCCAGTTCTGATGAGGTGCTCTCCCAGAAAGCAGCGTATTCAGTTGTAGATGCCACTCACTAAGGCCTCCCTCCACCAACAGGTATTTAAGCAACTTTAAAATCTAGCACACACAGTACCTGTTCTTCCATTGCTGCCTATGGATTGATGCGGCAAGAGGCAGCAGGAGGGGAATCAAGACTTGACAACAGACACCAGTCCCTCGCAGCTAGTAGTCCATGCATCAGGCAAAATATGACGACGACAATTATCTTCTGCTACGCAGAAGAAGAAAGTGTTTGGTTTTGCGGCCCACTCAGAAAGGCCTCTCTTGACCTGTGTGTTTTCAAGGAAGGAAAACCAAAGAAACGAAGTACTGGCACAACCTTATCTGGAATGCTGCATGTTGTGGATGCCCCATCCCCGGCTGTCTTCAAGGCCAGGCTGGACAAGGCTTGGAGCAACCTGGTCTAGTGGAAGGTGTCCCTGCCCATGGCAGGGGGGTTGGAACTGGATGGTCTTTAAGGTCCCTTCCAACCCAAACCATCCTGTGATTCTATGATTCTATGAAAAATATGCTGGTGTCAGTACTGGTATCACAACTGCACTCGCTTTTGGAAGATCTGCACCTCTGCCTGTGCCAATTCAGCTGTTGAGGTTGCAGCTGTAGCACCGTGTTTCCTGAAGAGCAGCAAGCCGGTCTTCTCTGCCCTTGACCACATCAGCCCTTTGTTGTCCATGATCCTTGTCCAAATGAGAAAGCAATGCCAGTCTTGGATGCGACAATGGTGTTTGCTATCAGAAGGCCTCTTTGACTGCAACCAGGATTTTTTTTTTTCCTCCTTTTTAATTAATCAGTGACGAGCACTGTGTACTGTTGTATGGGGGCAGTGGCTGCCAAAACTTTCCCAGAAGTCAAATTTTTAAAAATCAGAAATACTAAATACTAGCACCTCAGACTTTGCATAGTCTGATTGTGAACAGATTTACAGAAGGAGGTCAGACTGCATTCTGAAAGTGATTTTACGTTTCTTTTGCAAAACAACTGAAAACAAATCTTTCCCAGAACATAGGAAACACTTACAGGAAATACGAAACAACTGTAGGAAACAATTACACAGCATGTGTTAAACTAGGAAATATTATTTAATATCAATATAAAAATATTTTACATCATTAAATTTATAAACCTAATACAAGATCACCTTCCTCCATTACAGACCTACATCACAGGTCTGTTTTTACAGTATACTCTGTAAAGTTTTCCATGTGCATGCTTCCCTCTCTTCCCTTACCAAATCTATCCACTTAGTGGACCCTCAATGCTGCTCTCACTCACTTTTGCTGATTTACTGCATCTCTCCACGCAAACATTAACCAGCAAAACCGTTTTGTATTGTTTCTCGTACTGTGGCTCTTAGGTTTCTCTACATTTTTCCAGCTTCCCACAAGGCCCAGCCTGTGCAGTGACCCTCCACCTCACTGTATATACAAAATATGTATGAAGAGAGAAAGCTTTATATAAAAGTTAAGGCATTGCACCACTTATACTGCAGCTGCAAAGGATTCATACGGGCCTTAAAGAGACTATGTGTGACATGGGGCGCTCTGTGCCGGAGCCCTGACAAGAAAGCAAGCTACGCTCACCAGTCCAGTTGTGAGCAAGCGGGGACATGAATGAAGCCCTTTCACTCCCGGCCGAGGTTGGCGGGGACGTGGTCGGGCCCTGCGATGACTCTGACAACGGTCCAACAAATAACTCTTTCTGCACCGAAACTCAAAGCAGCCCCTCTTCCTTCTCGTGCTCCCACGCTGCTCCCTCGGGTTTCCCATCGAGAACCAGAGGAAGACACTGTTCCAGATGAAAATAACTCCAAGAAAACTTTGGAAGAATGGCAGTTGTTTTCCATTTTTTTCAGTTCATGGGGCAGCTCCACCGGTGTAACTGTCTAACAGCCTGGCAACAGGAACGAGCCAAGAATCACCAGAGACAGGTACCCCTACCTGCCTTCCCAAATGCAAAAGCACCTAACTAGGCAGCCAGGGTGGAGGCTTTTTTTCCCCCAAATTCCTCCCACCTCCTGTTGTTTCTAGCACACTTCTGCGCTTTTCATTGCTGTAAAACGCGGCAGAAAAGCCACAAATAAATCCACTTAATTTCACGTTCTAAAAGGGAACTAACGCTCCGGCACCAACGTGCGGGTGGCTTCGGTGTCTTCAAAGCATAAAGCTCACAGCTTTGCCACTGAGCACCAGAAAAGTATTTTTTTCAACAGCCAGGGCTCTACTTCTTACTTGAAGTACGCGACACGCCGCGGGAGCTGTAGGCAGGCCGGCACCCGAAGACGACATCCTTTAACGACAAGGTTTTTAAAGCCCGGGCACCCCGGCACCCACACGGCCTGCGGAGGCGTTAT